TGCCTGCCCACTTGTGCTTGTCAGGCTTGGGGTTTAACTGGTGGACCTGATCCCTCTTTTGCAGTGTTACCCAGCAAAGGCAGAGAATCTGTAGGCTTCTCCCTATAATCTCCTCCGTATTTCGCAGCCAAGACTTAAAAAAGGAATGCCTGCTAGGACAACTTATGTGGATCAAGGGGAAAAGGACAAAGATTTTTAAGGGGAGTGGGGGGGATCCTAACAGGCAACAAAAAGCTTTATAAGACGCTGAAAAGTGAAGTTGGAGAAGGGAAAACAGGACGATACAACACGCACATAAAAAAAGGAGCAACATTATTTATGACAGCAGAATGTCATCTATCCTTGCCTTTTAATTTCTCTTTTGTTCTTTGCTTGATGGAAATTGCCTAAGCTCTGCAAATTTAGGACTAGATCTATAAGTCAAAAATGAAAAGTGACTGGCAAGAATATTGAGTCACTTTTTTCTCCCGATCAAAAAGTGAGGGGGGAAAAAAGATAAAGAGATTGGCAGAAACAACTGTGATTAAAGTCAATTGTTTTTTGTTTTTTTTTTTTAACCATAAAAGCAAGGAATTAAAGGGAATGAAACTAGAAAGAGATAATCTTTGGTAGGGACATATAAGGTAGACACAAAAAGATTTTCCTATTTGCTCCCAGCTGGGTAATCCTGGGCACTGGCAGGCTATGGGGCAAATGGACAGCTGCCTCCAGAAAAGATTATCTTCTGTCTGTCACTCTGGGAATAGCTCAGGTCCTATGGCTGTTGATTCTGTGCTCTAAGCCTTGTATGACATTGCTATTTCTGTCGCACAGGAAAAAAAAAAAACCTCTAACCATAATTATAATCACAATAATAATAGTTTTAAGCACTGACTAGGCTCAAAGCACTTTACATGCATAATCTCATTTAATCCTCACCAAGACCTCATAGGTGTTAGTACTGTTTTGTTTTTTTAGTACCAGGGATTGAACTCGGGACCTTGCACTTTTGTGGCAGGCAGCAGCGGCAGCAACACTGAGCTAAATCCCCAACTCTAGGTGTTAGTATTATTATCCCCATTTTATGGGTGAGACCATGAAAAGGATCAGTTTATCCTTGTATGGATTTTCCTATACTTCAGCCCCAGCAGCAGCAAACTGTTGATGTCTCACTGAAGCAGAAATCTACACTCTCCACCCTGTCCCCACAGTCCTACACAAAGCTTTTACAACTTCAGATCCTTTTCTCTCTTTCAAAGATGGATCCCTTTCCTGTCCAGGGTCACCACCCAGCAGTGATTCACATTGGCTGCTCACCCTGGGCGTATGGAACAAGGGCAACTAACCCCCTCCACCCAAGTCACAGTTTGCTTTAGTATCTGATCAGTATGAACGTCAGTGAAAGCCCACTTTCCTTAAACGAAAAAGCATAATCTTTAAATGACTTTCCTCACGACAAGGAAAAACTCTTAGGGTACTGCAGGCCAGGAAAGAAAGAAAGAAAGAAAGAGAGAAAGAAAGAAAGAGAGAAAGAGAGAAAGAAAGAAAGAGAGAAAGAAAGAAGAAAGAAAGAAAGGAAAGCTGAAAATTTCAGAGCTAAGATAAAATCTCTCCGTGTCTGTTTTGAGCCTTTAAGACTTCCATTTTCCCCTCATTGAAGGTCTCAAAAGAACTACCAGCCATCAAGCCCCTTGCTGTGCTCCCTGGATGTCCTCAGCCCACCAAGCCTACAAGGCCAGAAAGGCACTCAGTCTTCCTTCTCAAGGAATCCTGGACTGTCCAGCTGTCATTCGGCCTGCAGTCGAATCCCTCCTCCCCCAAGGAAATCAGTCTTTGCTAGGAGCCCTGATCTTGTGCCTTTACACTGTCAAGTTCCAACAGGAACTTTCTTCCCTCCACTAAACCACCAGACTTTGCCAAGAACACTTAACCCAGAAGATGTATCATCTCGGGAATTCTGCAGGACCAGGCTAAGTCTGTTCATCAAATTTCTCATCTGTTCTGTCCCTCAGTGCCTCGTCTGCCTTGTTTTTCAGTTACCAATGGGCTGTTCAGTATTTATTCTACCCATTTGCATTATTAACTAAGTTCCAAATACTTTTTCTGCAAAAAAGAGAGGCCAAACTACAATTAAAATGCAACAAGTGTGCTAGAAGGGGAAAACAAAAAGGAATCACTAAAAACCAAGATTTGATTATGGACCTTAAATTCAGATCTTAATATTGTAAAATGTAGGCCCAGGTTAGATTTAAAAAAAAAAAAAAAAAAAAAAAAAAAACTAAGTTGGGGTTTGTGGCTCCTAGGGAGGCCATGCATTCCTTAAATTAGTTTTTAAATATTTATATTTTTTCCCCTTGTTCTGCTGGAATAAGGTCCATAGCATTCATCAGATTATCAAAGGGAAAACGATTTGTATCTCCAATGCCTACAGTGAGGCCTGGCACACATTAGAGGGGCTCAGAAAACATCTGAATAAACATTCAACATGTATTGAGTAAATGCATCGACAAAAGGTCTGATCTTTCCAGCACTCTGTTCATAAACAGAAATGTAACTGCCTTCCTCAACTTCACAAACCCAAGGAGTCAAACGAGATAGAATTAGCTCTTCATTCTTTCCATGGCTGGGTACTCTTGCTTTGCTTTTAAATCAAGCTGTTGCTTTTTACCCCATTTGATTCTTCTTCCTCCCGACCTGTCCTTCTTCAAAGCAGAAGCGTAAATGTGATTTCCTGGTTAGAAGTTGTCAGTAAGTGCATCTCCCAAAGGGAGAGTGGAGAGGCAGAGGCAGAAGCCGCTATCATCTGTGGTAGCCCCAGAGCAGGCCTTCGCTCCAGTGTTGAGAAGATGATTAATATGGCGTTAAGTGGCGAGGATATGGGGAGTGGAAACAGTGAAGTTAGATCCGGAGGTTGGCGGTACATCTGAAGCTTCCGTAAATCAGAAGCTGAAAACTGGCCACGCCAAGGAGGTACCCCATGAGCAGGTAAAAGTACTACAGCATGCTGAAAAGAATACCAGAGGCACAAGCACCCAGCAGATCTGCCCCTGGTGCAAAGCTTCTTTCTGGGGGTCCTTTTGGCTTTTTTTTTTAGCCCTGAGGATTGAGCCCAGGGCCTCATGCATGCCAAGCAAGTGCTCTACCACTGAGCTACATCTGCAGTCTGGCGTCTTGCTTATAAATAAGATCCTGAGAGAATTCAAACCAGGCCATCTTACCCTCTTAACAGCTCAAAATGGAGCCCAGCGCAAGGAGAATACCAACCAAATTTGGGGGGGGGGCTATGCCTTGTGGAGCTGCTCCCTGCCAGCAGAGGTTTAGAGAGAGACGACATGGGGATTCTATGACACAGCAAGTTTCTGGTGCTGATGACTTCCTCAGCACCCCAAAGCACTCAGGAGGCCCTGAGGTCTAGAGAGTGTTGAGGGGAGAGAAGAGAGCCCTGCTTACCCTTTTAGGGGTGGTAAAGCCCCAGAATGCTCTTGCTAGCAGAAGAAATTTTTTGTAAATTCTTTTTTGAACCCTCACACCCTAGATGCAAGTCACTTTGGAAAGGAATCTGGTATAACACCCTGGACTGTGTTTATAGAATACCTCTGTTATTTGGCAATGACAGGAAATATTTTGTGATTAAGCAAAGACCCTAGAGTAGACAATAAGCAATGTGGGTTGGGGCCTCGGTTGTGTGACCCTGGGAAAAATCACTTGACCTCTCTTAACCTGTTTCTTGATTTCTAAAAGAGATTGGTACATACTCTATGATTCTTTCCAGCTTTCCAGCATGCTACTTATTACATTTAAGTTTGAAGATTAACCCACCCAAGGATTCTTCCAACATAATTAGAAGAGATTACCCTTCAGGCAAGAAAATCATCCCTTTCCAATATTATTTTCCTAGATTTCTTTACAATGCAATTAAAATATCAATGCATGGGGGAAGGGGGAAACCTTAAAACTTTTGTAATTAACAAGGCCCTAATGCCCAAAGACACATGCTGTAAACCTCAGATCCCTATATCCAAGGAGAAGAGGTTAAAAGAAATTAGACTTAGCCAGCAAACGACCTGACTGCCCCATCCTCACTACGTGGCGGGAATTATAGAGGATTCTAATCCATTTACTAATTATTGGAGTTCTACTCTCAAAGTATAAAAATTTCAAAACATCCACACAGCAATCAATTAATTAATATAGCAAATAGGCCTGTGGCATAATCATCAGAAAATGTTCAGGGTAACATGCTTTTCTGCTCTGCCCTCTAAGATTACTGGCAACTTCCTTTGTTTGGCTCCCAAGACATTCCAGGGTTAGCCAGGTAGTTCAGTGTCTTCTTTCCTCACAAATCAGACAACTCTGGAGTTTCAAGATTCTCTGCCAATGAGCCGGGGATGTAGCTCCATGGCATCGCACAAGGTTCTGAGTTCGATCCCCAGTACTCCCCCAACCTGCCCTGCCAAAAAGTTCTCTGCCAAGCGCTGAACTGAATTTTCTAATAACCATGGTATGACTCTGAAGCTCAGAAAGGGAGCGAAATAAAACAAGGCACTTTGCTGGGTAATAGGAAAAGTAGGTGCATTTAGAGTTTGACATCTTGTTTCTCAAAAAAAAAAAAAAAGTAACCTAGAACTTTTCCTATCCATCCTATGGTGAAGACTAGTTGCATAGAGAAACTGAGCTCAGCAGAAGTCCCCTTAGCATCACACCTCCCTGGGCCCTCTGGAAGCTGGAAATGGCCCAGGAGATGGAGCTAGAGAGGGAAGAGTGAGTCCCACGGAGTAGGGCCTGAGCCCCTGCTTAGGGGCCAGGACCAGAGGTGGGAAGTAGGCCCACCTCAAGGGGCTCTGTCTCCCTCTAACTTTTGTAATGGGTAGCATTCTTTGCCAAGGCCTAAGCCTTTTAGGACTGTCCCCAAATGTTGGCTCCCTAACTTCCCTGGGTCTCATCATCAAGTAAGTAATGTGTGGAGGCCCTTCGAGGCTGCCCAGGCAAAGAGGCCAGGGGCTGAGTCTCTGTGCACTCACCTGGGACTGCTGAGCTCATTGGTCCAGGCTTCTGTGACCTCTGGGCATGGCCACCCCTTCGGCAGACCTCTGGGTGTAGGACAAGTTGACCACCTGGAAGGGCAAGAAGATGGGTTACTCTGCTGGCTTGGAAGGAGCAGAGGAGAAGCTGAGGGGGCGGCTGGAATGCCTTGCAAGAAATCAAGGCTTGGGGAGGCTGAAGGAACGAAAGGGCAGAGGGGTGTGTGGGATATCAGCCGTCAAGGCAGGGTGCTGACTGATGCAAGAGGAGAGCTTCTCAGAGATGCCGTCCTAGCCTCAGGCTTGAGAATTCTCCCGGAGGAGAGAGTCTTGATCTGAGTTTGCAACAAGTTTCCTAGAACTTTTAAATCAATCCTTGCCTTTGCCTCCAACCTGAGATAGATGAGGCAGAGGGATTTAAAGCAACCACAGGTCCTGGAAGGGACGACAGGGTGGTGGTGGGGGGGTCTGTCTCCAGACCCTGGGGGTGCGGGGAGAAGTCGGGGCGCTCGGTGCACCTGGGGCGCAGCCCCAGTGGGCTGGAGAAAGTGGGCACACAGGACTGCTTAGGCTGGCTGGGCCACCTGCCTGCTCCCCTGCCGCTCCGGGAGGGGCTTCTATGGCCCCTTCACCTCTTCCTGCCTCCAGAGACAACCACTCATCTTGATTTTTAACACAGAAGTTCAGCCAGTCGGCTATGCCTGGGGCACCAGGTTTCCCCAGCAGCCTTGCCAATACTCCCCAACCCCTGGAGAGAAGTAGATGGGGCGAGAAGGGGTGGGGGGTGCCCTTCTACAGGACCCCCAGTGGTTGGCATCAGCCGCAAATGCCTGCAAGTTTCCATCACCTCCCCCCCAGCTCATTAGGTGAGGTGGCTTTTTCAGATCTGAGAGTGCTTTGACAGTTTTCGGACTCTCAGGGATTAGTGCCCCCCCACCCTACGCCCCTCGAACGCCCCTCGACCCTCTTTCAGCAAAGGCAAAGCGGGGAGCAAGGCGGCGACCAGCTTCCACTGGCATCGGGCTAACTTAACTGCCCTAAGGAAGGAAGGAAGGAGGGGAAGACACAAAAAGCTAAAAAAGGCCAGTGATTTTCACTTATGGAGAAGGGGGAGGGGAAGGGGTCTTCCCTCCAATCCCTCCGGAATAAGAGACCCTTCGCCAGCCCCGACCTAAAGCGAGCGGCCCCAGCCCAGGCGCACGGCCGCCCAGCCAAAGCCTCAGCGGCTTCCTGCAGGCAGCAACAGTTGTCTGGCTGCGAGGACGCAGGTGAGGGGAAGCCAGGGCTCGCTGTAGTGCTGCACGACGCCGCTCCCGCGGGGCGCTCCCGGGGCCCTGGAGCCCCAGCCCCACACCTAGCCTAGGTGGAAGAGATGAGGGGCCGAGGGACACAGAAACCCCGGAGCAGCCCGCGCTGGGGTCGCTCCAGTCCTTCTGCACAAGCTCACTTGTCTTAGGTCAACTCTGTCCCAAATCCGGGGAAGGTGGTGGCTTTTGGAGACAGAAGGGCTTTCCGGCTGGGGGAGGGGGGTGTAAGAAGCAAAAGACAAAAGAGTGGAAGGGACACAGGGTGAAGCTATTTTTAATCTGACGTGGCTCTTTCCGCCTCTGTTTCCGCAGAGCTATCGCTCCACAGACGGCCCCAGGTGAGAGGCAGGAGGAAAACCCCCTAGAGCCTCTCCTCTTTCTCCACCTCCAGTGCAGACCTTAGGAACTCTTTTACTCTTTCAGAAAATGCCTTCAGGGGGGGAAAATCTCCTTTATCTGGGGAGAGGGGCTCTGATTTCTCTCTGGAGCTTGCAGTCCTCGCTTTCTGAGTCTTCTCCCGGGCCCAGCTAGCTCACGCTGCCTCTGTCCAGCACTCTCGCACTCCGGAGCCCTTTCCTGATTCCGGAAAGGAGAGAGTCCGGTGTGCAACTAAACCCACAGGGGAATGAAGGTGGGCGTTTTGTTTGTTGGAAGAAAAGCGGTTGAGATGACGGGGAAGTTCAGGCCCTCCCCGAAAACGCGAAGCTCCTCAGCCCTCGGGGTTGGACCCTCGCCTCCCTAGACCCACTGTGTATCCATGCCCATCCCGGGGGCACTCGTGTGTGTCTCTGTGTCCTTCTGGCCCAGTCCCTAAGGGCAAGGGCGTCTGGCAGTGTTTCTAGCTGGCGAAGGGCACGGGGCGCAAAACGTGTCGAAGGCCTGATTTGTGCCACTTGTAACCCAAGTGGTCACGACTGCAATGAGCGGAGGGGAGGGAGGGGCCACGGACTCTCCTTACTCCTGCAGCTCTGCCTTCCTCCCCAGGACCAGGCGCCCCGAGAGGCCAGGATGGGGCTGCTTTTCCTGCTCAGCTGCAGCGTCGGGCACAACCGCAGCTCCCAAACCTCCTTCCCCGCGGGGGTTTCCTCGGTGGGCGCCCGTTGTACCCCTTCGGGTGCCACTTAGTTTTGAAAAAGGGGAGATAGAGAGGGAGAGACTCGAGCTTGCAAAACGCCCCAAAATATGGGTGGAAGCGGGCGCGGGAGGAAGACTCCGGGGAGCGGGCGGTGCCGGGTGTTTTCCCTCTTTTTCGGAGCTACCGGATTCACCGGCTCCCTCGCCTCCGGGCTCTGCGCACCGGGACAGCGGATGGCGAGGGCCACCTGCCCCTCCTTGAAGGACTTCCCCACCCCCATATTGCTGATTGATCCATCGGGGTCAAAAAATGACCGTAAAAAGTCCTAAACCGATTCATATTCCAGGGCCTGACTGGACCGTACGACTAGGTCCTTCTCCCACCCCCCTTGCAGTGTGTGTGGGGGGTTATTTGAGATATGGGTAGGGGGTGGGGGGGATGACACAACTTCTGTAAACTTTTATTGCATTTTAGCTTCTTCCCACTTGTACGCACCCCACCCGCTCCAATTTCCCCTGTGATACAAAGTCGATTAAAAAGTTGGGGGCGGGGGGCACACACGCAGGGACAGCGGGTGACCCAGGTCTTGTGTGTGGGGGCGCAGAGAGGACAGGAGGAAGAGGACTGATTCTTCCGTGGAAAGCGGGGGAGAGGCTAGGGGAGAAGACTCGGACGGAACCGCTTCGGGAAGGTGCGGGCTTCGGCGATCGCTCGCTCGCTGGTGACTGCCGCGTTCTCGACGAGAGCGCCCTCCGCGAATGCTTTTTGGGGTAAGGGCTTCCGGCTATTGAGTTATATACAGCAAGCCCAGACCGCAAAAAGATTCGCGAAGAGCAGAGT